GTGGATTGGAAGGATGGTAAATGGAGTGTGTGTGCGTTTCTGTGAGTGTGTGTGTGTGCCCCCCCCCACCCCTCTCTCTCTCTCTCTCTCTCTCTCTCTCCCTCCCTCCCTCACTACCTGGAAAGACAGAGGTTTCATTGTAGCGCTCTGGGAGGGAGCTCTGAGCCTCTAACACTGTCTCCTATTGTGGATTGGAAGGATGGTAAATGGAGTGTGTGTGCGTTTCTGTGAGTGTGTGTGTGTGTGTTTGACAGACAGAGAGAGAGGGAGAGAGGGCAACATAGTGAGATCAGTGGAAGACAGGATACCTAGATTGATGGATAGCTGAAGAAATGGAAGTATTAGGAGGAGAAGAAGAGAAGGAGACAACAAGGGATATGAAGTGTGAAATACTGGATGAACACACACACACACACACACATGCGTGCACGCAGCTGGAGTTTTCCTGCCCTGTTGACAATGCAATACCTCTGTCTGACCTTTGACCCCTCCTCTGCGACCTCATGTCATATGACCAGACTCTAGTTAGTCTGGAGGGACACTTCTGTCTGTCTGTCTCTCTCTGTTTTCCATACACACTTTCTCTCTCTTTGCCAGTCACTTCAAACACCCCATCACTCTCTCTCTTTTACCCCCCCCCTCCTCCCCCATCCATAAACAACAACAACTACAAGAGCAAATGAACCCTAATATTCCCCCTCCCTTTCTTCTATTGGCTATCGAAAAGGGTCAGCTGATCGCACCGGGGTGGGAGGTCGTGGTGGGAGAGAGTTGGAGGGGTGAGAGTGTGCTGAGAGAGACAAGGGAGCGACAGATGGGGCAGGAGTAGGGAGGGTGTGGGTTTAGCATTCTCCTCTGGTATTTTTCTGTCTGTCGTTCTTTCTTTCTTGCCCCCCTCTCGCTCCGTGGATGGAGACACGGTTATCAAGGCTCTCTGGGGACAGACAATATGGCCCAGACAATGGCCTCCAGTCCGAGGTGGTGGTGGTGGTGGTGGTGGGAGGGTGACGGAGGGAGCGCGAGCAAGAGAGGGAGAGGGTGAGAGAGAGAGAGGGAGGCCAGGACAGGGCCACAGGGGAAGAGAGGGGCAGAATGGCGCATTAGTTTGCAGAGCACGGACACTCTACTCAATTACTCTACTCTCTCTCTCTCTCTCTCTCTCCTTTACAGACACACACATTCTCCCCTTCCTCAAACACACACACACACACCACTTTAATCTCGCCCTTTTAAATGAAGTACAGCGACACTTACACTGGAAGCAGAACTGCTCACTTAAATTAGAAACAAGTTTTTATCACCGGCCACAAGAATTTCTCTTACAAAATAAAAGCCAATAATTATTCAAATAAATACAAATAAACAGAGGTGGAAGACACGTTTAGTAGAACCAGTAACATCACGCTATGAAAATACTTTTACTTAAGTATTAGATGAAAGTTTGAAAAGTTAAAGTACTAATTATGCAGAATGTTTTTATTGTTATACTCTATGTATATCATAATAATTATTAATACTGATGCATTAAAGTGTAAGCAGCATTTTATTGTTGCACTGGGTCAATCTGGAGCTTATTGTAACTTCTTCATATACTACTAGGTAGTTTAATCTGTAACAATGCATTATATTCCAGGAAGAGATAATTGTTTTTATATAAAATGTTAATTTGAAAAATAACTACAGCCGTCAAGTAAATGTAGCAAAGACGACAATATAAGAAATGTGTCAGAGTACAAGTACGAAGAGCAGAAAATAATTCTAAAGTAAATCACAAGTACCTGTAAACTGTACGTGAGTGCAGAATGTGACTAAATAAACTTCCTCTGCTTAAAGAAAATAATTTTTACAAATAAAAAAACAGTTTGTCTCAATGAAAATCAGTCAAATGCTTCAGGCTGCTGCCGCCGTCCGTGTTGCTGAGTGCGACGCAAGTAATGTCAGATTGTATCAGAGTGTGTCCTGCTTAAACCGTTCAAAGTGTTGACACATCCCCTGTTGACTGCCCCCCTCCCCTTCAAACTTACTGACACACACACACACACACACACACACACACACACACACACACACACACACAGACAAACACCCTAATAAATGAAGGAGACAAATGGAAGGGTGTGAAAATCCACCACTGCCTTAACACCACATCGACAGAGACCTCTTCCTCTCCTCTCTCCTCCTCCTTCACCTCTTCGAGCCCCCCTCCTCCCGCCCACCCCCAAACACCCCCTTACCACCTCCCCCCCTTACCCTTCATCTCCAGCACTCTCACTTTTCTGTAACCCTGCTTCTTCTTCTCTCCATCAGCGAGGAATGTGTCAGTTTGACCACATCGTTTCTTTCCCTTCATCTCTCCATCCGCTGCCACGGCAGCTCCCTCAAATGTCTCTGTCTTCTCGTCTGCGTTCAGGTCTCTTTAGCTTTGGCGTTCTCCGTTTTTCTCTCTCTGTGTATATTTTCTGTTCTGTTTGTGTGAACAGATGAGGCCGTGTTGGTGAAGGCAGCCTGTTTCCACTGTTTTCAGCTTCGACTGGAAATTTTGATACACAGCCGAGCGTTTAGAGAACCAAAAAATACTTTCAATCATGAAAAGCATGATTGGAATATAAAATTACAATAGAATACAATACAATAGAAGAATACTGAAGCTCTGTCAAAGAAAAAGGTGCATTTTTAACAGCTTAACAAGATGGGACAAAAATCTTATCACAAGACTTTTTTTTGGCTTAAATAAAATGAGAATTAAAATGTGTTTTTTTTTTTAACCCTCGAGGTAGATGACTGATATTTGACAAATAAAAAAATGAAAAAATGTCAGTTATGATTTCTCACTTCTAAAAAAAAAAAACTACATATGAAACAAATAAAAGACAAACCATCCTCTAAAACTCTACCAAACTCTTCTTCATCAGCTTTTTTTCCATCAAAAGTGACTCCAAGTGAATTTTAACAACTGTATGATTTAAGAAAAAGAGAAGAAGAAGAGGGCGAAGAAAAAGGGGAAGAAGTGAAGAAAAGTAGAAGAAGAGGAAGTGCGATGAGGAGATAAAGAGTAGGCACGGGTGAAGGAGGCGAGCGGACACTTACAGAGACGCAGGAACCGAGAGCATCGCGACCACCGAGGCTGGAGCGCACACACACTGGCAACTCACGGATTGGAAGATACCCCCTCTCTCACTCACTCGCCCGCTCACTCACACACATACATCCATCCACATATGAACACACACACACACACACACACACACACACACACACACACACACACACACACACACACACACACACATACACACACACACACACACACACACACACACACACACACACACACACACACACACACACACACACACACACACACACACACACACACACACACACGGCCAGAGCCACAGTGATGGAGTGCATTACTGGAAAGCAAGAGTTTTAAGCGCTCTCCTCCTAAGTCATTGTAATCCCTGCATTTATCTCCATACATTCTGCTTTTCGGTGTAATCCTTTAAATTTTTAATTCCTCCTAGCTGTTGTTATCTTTTTTTTTTTTTCTCTCTCTCTCTTCAACCACTTTGCCAGATTGAACGGTTTATTAATAACACATTTTTGCCACATCTAAATGTGTTCTTAATTCAAGGGGCCCCTGAAATCCTCCCAAACCCACCCCACCGACCCCAGTTTATCTCGCGGAGAGAAAAAAAAAAAAAAAAAAGATTAGTTTCATCGGGCAAAACAGAGCGCTACTTTAATGCAATAAAAGTCAAGCAGGCGAGGGGAGAGAGGTGAGTGTGTATGTGTCAGCGCATGCAAGTGTGTGTGTGTGTGTGTGTGTGTGTTTTAGTATTAAAACGCTGGGGTATTATAACATAATCTGTCTCTCACAGCATTAGCATCAAACAACCATTATTCCACAGGCAAAAACCACTTGTGTTGACAGTGTCAGAAAAGGGCAAGGTTAGAGGGTTCACACCTCTAAATGACGCAGGCGCGCACAAACATCAGAGGAGCACAGTGAGATTAACATTAGCATAAGTCAAGAAAAAAAACAACAACACCATGCAGATAGACAATAGGATTACTGAGGGTTTGCATGTGTTGAATTTGGATTAAGTGAAAAATAAATCGGAAATAAGTAAATTTTCAAAGAAGAGCCAGAGCAGGGGGGCAGGGTATAAACATTTCAATTCCGGGCTGAAAAAATAATTTATTTGGAGTCATTTCTCTGTTACTTTTTCAGTGTTTAAAAATATAGAAATTCTCTGTGTATTTTGGACTTGTTGATAGTGGCTTAAAATGTTCAGCTCTTACAGAAAGAGACACTGAAAACTTGCTAAAGCAGAAGTAAATAAAGTTGTGGTGAGTGGTGATGAGATGATGAAGGGATCACACATTGTGACTTTGACACACACACACACATCTTTCTCTCTTTAAGAGTCTCTTTGTCTTTCACATACACACACACAAACACTGTTTTTAGCAGTTTGTATATGGGGTAGTGAAGTGCATGAACACAACTTCAGTCAGGAGGGACAGAGGAGGAAAAAGAGAGTCATTTCTGTAACTGCTGGGACAAACACATGCATGAATACACACACACAAACACACACACAAATATAATGCCTGCTTTGCCCCAGCTTTGCATATGGTATCTCTCCCAAAACCAAAATCAATCATCAACTCTCCTTTACCATCTCTGACTCTGTCACACACACACACACACACGCACACACACACACTCTCTAGGCTCAAACTCAGCCAACTCGCGGAGACAGTTCACATGTTAAACACACAGACACACACACACACACACACACATAACACAGACTGAGTCTTCTCTTCTCAAACACACATATCTTTCTACTTTATCCTCCTATCCTCCCTTTAGCTTCTCCTCCCTAACGCTGACGCGCTCCGTCCTGTCCTCTATCTCTGTCATCTGTGTGTGAATGTGTGTGTGTGTCTGTGTAGGAGCGTGCATGTGTGTGTGAGAAAGCGTCACGTACCTGTTACACTCCTGAGGTAGCTCAGGCTCAGTGAGCATGCTGGAGTAAGGGTCCGTCTCTCTCGACAACAACAACATAAAACAGTCCCACAATGCTCAGATGAACGAGGTTAGTCTCCCCAAGACAAGACGGGATAGAAGTGATCCTTCAACCTCTCACACACGCTGCTGATTCTCTCTCTCTCTCTCTCTGTCTGTGTTCCTCTCTCTCTCTCTACTCACACACTTTCAGCCTCACACCCTCTCTCTCTCTCTCTCTCTCTGCCTCTGTCCCTTCTCTTCTCCCTCCCTCGCTGTAAGCTGTGAGATCTAGGCTCAGCTCTTAAAGGGCCAGCAGCAGAGCCTCTTTCTCTTTCGCTCGGTGTGTGTGTGTGTGTGTGAGAGAGAGTGCAGAGGGGAGGGGCCATTTGACCAGAGGGCTCGTCACTCCCTGCTCGTGCAAATGCACAGCAGTGCTGCCCCCTTCCACAAGTCTATCTCCCTCCCTCTCTCTCTCTCCGTCACACACACACACACACACACACACACACACACACACACTTGGTTTTCACACTCTCAGACAACAGTTACAGATCATGTAGACACACTTCAGAGTGATAAGGCCACTGCAAGCCCTCATGCACTTTATTAAGCAACATGAGGGGAATTAATCAATATGGTGTGAACTACACTGAACTATATGAAAAACATAAACTAGACAGACTATCTTGTTTTCACTAGTATGTTCTATAGTTTGTAGTTCTATAGTATACATGCCTTGTCTAAGCAGGATGTGAAGAGGCCAAGTTTGCTCATTAACTACCTCGAGTTAGCAGATAAAATCCTCACCTTCAAAGAGCAAAACGTCTGTAACTTTTCTAAAAAGGTTGAGATCACGCTTTCCTTCTTTCAGGTGACATGAAATGTTATGTCCGACCAAAACAAGACACTCAACTTACAGCCTCACATAAGAGAGAAAAGCATCACGTTATCTACTTTGAGAGGCTTGAACTGGTAAATATTTGCAATTATTCCTCAAGTAATGACTTAAATTTCGAGTATCAAAATTGTAGAAGATTCATTTTCCGTTCATTAACTAATCGATTATTGGGTTTGTATTGCTGATTTAATATTAAAATTTGAAGAAGAGACATGTGGAAACATGCTGTTAAGAAGACCGATCATTTCGCTTGTTTACACTGAACCAAAAAAAGCTGGCTGCAGAACAAAAATGTTTAGCTAGCATGCCAGAATTCGGGAATCAGAGACAATAACGTGTCTCCATTTTACGCAGGCGTCAATCCCGCTGTGTCGGCATAAAGGCGGAACAGCAAAGCCCCCTCCCCATTCCATGTTGGTACCTTTTCTACAGAACGGCGAGGCGGAATACAGGCAGAACATTCCCACCTTCAACAGGCTGTGTGAGTCATCTTATGGCTGAACTCAAGTATATGAGTAGAAAGATGACTGGCTGTACTTCCTGTACTTGCATGAACAATGCAGCTCATATGATGTTTTAGTTTAGTGATAGATATACCAGGTGATTATTGGATAACAGGAACAGTACTAGACACTAGCGCAGTGTTTCAGAGCCTGGAACAATGCTGTATAAAGCTGCGGGTCTGTATAATAACACAACATTTCATAGTTTTCATGGGCAGAATAAAGAAAAAAGAAGCTGAAAGTAACACTTTTTACTGCATTTTTCAAATGCTTTGGACTCATTCATGCTTAATGGGTTAACTTGTGTTGTTCCAGCCTCTTTTACTGTCCATTTGGTTCCACCATGTTAGTAAAGTGAAGCCGTTTTGTGCTCCACTCTGACACACATCATGCTTTTCACATGATTGGCTTCGCTAGCAAAATGGAGAAAAAAAAAAGAAGAAGAAAAAAAAACAGTGGACGTGAAACAAACCTTGAAACAAGATTAATAAGGTATCCCAAGCTCGGAGTGAAATTCCTTCATGGGTTGCTGAATGCTCCACAACACTGTCCAGATGGGTTAAATCACATCTCTAATGCATTAAAACAATATTAATAATGCATCTCAGCATGTTATTACTATTTACAGATTGCCATTATGATTCAACAATGATGTGAAATCTACTGAACCTGGATTCATGTTTTCAAGAGGAAACAAAAAATAGAAACTTTACTGCCACTATCTTTGTCAATCTTAAGAGAAACATCACTTTATAGCTCTAACAAGTGAGAAGCAGATTTTAACCCACTTTATTCATCCATTTCTATCCATTTGTTCCACTTTCATCCTTTCTGTCTTTCCCTTTTTTCCATGTTTAAATATTGTTATTCTAAGATCTGCAGTGTTAATATGATTTTTCTATTCCAAGGACAAGCGTTGCAGGTACTGAAAATAGTGCACGTTCCCAAGCCAATCCAAAGTAGTTGGTCTCCATGGCCATAGTTTGACAAATGAGACAGAATAAAAGCTTTAACAGACTTTAATCTCCCTTCTTTTTCCTTTGGTTTGATGCAGTGAGAGGGAGACGTTTGATTCTGCAACATGGAACAGTTTCATTACAAGAAGACAGCTGAACACTTTCAACAGAACATATGCTGAAGCTCACATGCATGAATGAACGCATGCACAAACACACACGCACGCGCGCACACATGCACGCACACACACACACACACACACACACATACAGGAGCACTCACAAAATACACAAACTGACTGAAACCTTCAGCGATCACCCACACCCATTGTATCCTCAGGTATACGTACTGTATGTGTGTGTGTGTGTGTGTGTGTGTGTGTGTGTGTGTGTGTGTGTGTGTGTGTGTGTGTGTGTGTGTGTCAGTAGTGCATGCTGCTTTCAGCCCTTAGTGCTGTCAGTCACTATTAAGGGTGTGTGGTCTACGTGTCACACATACGGCCAATCCAGCTATTGTTCTGGAGAGTGCAGAGAAAAGCAGAGCTGACAGACTGCCACTTCTGTGATACTTTAACACACACACTCAGACACCGACACACACACACACACACACACATACACACACAGGAAGAAGGAGAGAAAGCAAGCCTTGTCACTGTAACTACTGTAGACAAACACACACACACACAGCATGCATACGTTCCATGAGAGCACATTAACACACACACATATTAGACAAAAACTTTTAACATTTTTCAGATGCCGACAAAATAATCTAATCACAGTCAATTTGATGTCTGCTCTGGAGCTTTAAGTCGCATCACACAGTCTTCTTTTGTCCAAGTTACCTTAAAAGTTGAGATTGAAAGTTCATTCTTGAACTTGGAAACATTTTACAAAACAATCTCACCAAAAGGTCCGTTTAATCCATTTACTCTGTGCAAGGTCAATATTGAACTCTCAACTTTTAAGCCAAAATGGACAAAAACTGTTAAAAAAAAAAGGAAATTTGAACATCTACTACTACATCATTCTCAGAAGTTGCCTCCCCTTGCTTTGTGTCCGAAGCAAGGTTATAGTGGAAATTACTTCTTTGAACAAGTCATTGAAACATTAGAAAAAAAAACTACCAGTGTACCACAACTCTTTCAAAGTCAACTGGAGACGCTGAATTTCCAAAGATACCGAAGTGAGTCAGGCAAATGGATAAAATGATATTTACCCACCCAATGTAAATATGATATAGTCTCCATGAAGAGTTGAAACAAGCTGATATGTGTGATACTGCCAGACAGTGTGTAATAAGTTAAAGGGGAAAGAAATCTGGATGTTAAAGGGAAACTCCGCTGATTTTACACATTAAAGTCTGTCTACAGGTCTCGGGGAGGGGCTCCAGAGGGAGGGCCAACTGCCTCAAGTGATGTCACTTGAATCAGCGTTGGTTTGGTCCGAACACTACAAGTTTGAAAAAAAAAAAAAAAAAAAAAAAAGTGGCGGTGTGGAGTGAGACGGAAGTGATCTTATTAAACCTCTGCAGCTCCTCATCTCTGCTCGAGGCTACATTAGCCGCCACTAACATAACACACCCAAATTTCCAACTGCCAGGTAATGACAAGGAAGAAGAAAGCTCGGAATAATAAAGAAGATATCTCGGGTTCTGCCGCACCAATTCTGATCCTTGTTTTTTAACTGTCCATTGTGAGTCCAATCGGTAGTGCACTCTTTACAGGAGGAAGGTCATCTCACCCCAGCACTTTACCGACATATTAACCCATGCACCACCAATCAATCATTACATTGTAAAATATCTGTTGTTGTCGTCTGGTGTGAACTGTACTCTGGTTTGACTTCAGAGGGAGAGATGTACTCTTTTTGTTAGTTTTGGCATTTAAATATGAGACATTTTTTTTCAAAAGCAACAGGTAGTTGAGAAACATGTGAAATCGACTTGCACTGATGTGACCCCATTATACTTTTTTAATTGTAGGAAAATACCTCTCTCTCTCTCTCTCACTCACACACACACACACATACGCACACACACACACACACACGCAGAGAGAGAGAGGCTATATAGCAGACTCTGTTAACAAAGCGACAAGTTCCCCAACCTGAACGATGGGTCATATGTCCCTGTTTGTGTGTGAAATTGTGCCTCTACGGCGGTCGTCATGGTTACAATAATAACCACACAGTTAAGCTTATGGAACAGTCACAGTTTGGTTAGGTTTGGGCACAAAAACTACTCTGTTAGGTTTTAGGACAGATCATGATTCAAGTTAAAATAATGGAACCTCCTCAGGGTGAGAGGACCTTTGTCATCATGGTTACTATAATAAACACACAGTTATGGTTGTGGAACAGTTAGTGGTTAAGAACAACGACTATTCACATGGGAGATGACCAACAGTCTCCTGTGGAAAAGCTCTGTGCCGGCACAGACATTTCTTACAGGACGGTCCCTAAGATATGAATTCACTTCTTTACATTGCTTTTGTTAACACTGAATTTATATAATTACATACATATATTCACGCACGTGTACGCATACACACACACCCACACACACACCCACACACACACACACACACACACAGACTAAGTACGCTTCCATGCCGACTTCTCCTTCTGCTCTCTATAAGACAGTAATATGAACATGTCAATGTCACCAACAATCAGTGGCATTAGTTTTCTATTTACCTAATCTAATTCATGGTCAAATGGAGAGAATACACTGGGAGGGCTAAATCTAATCGCATTCCTCGACTAAATTGAGCCCCGATTGGAAAC